GGGCTTGACGGAATTCACGGATTCAGAGCCATGCTAGTATCTGGATTTCACCAACTCATAGCTTCGCGAGGTTTCGGCTTTATATCTGAACCTTTTCAGCAAGCTGTTTCTGCTGAGTCTTTCTTAGGTTTAAGTTTGGTCCCCAGAACTTGTCATTATTCCGAACCTCAAACATTAGCTGATTCTGAATAATTCCCCCGAAACGTTTTATTAATGCGAACCCCTCCAGTAAAAAGGGTGCGACATTTCATCAGTGCAAGGCAAACTTATTTATTACCCTTTACCTCAAATTGAGGTTCACGATTCGCCATTAAGCTATTCCAGACATGGCCAGATGAAAGAGCCATCTGAGGTATACCTGCCGGAAAGCCCTGCCTGGACAACTCTACAGAAGTTGAGCGCCAAGCTGCACGGCAATGACAGTTTGGTCTAGGGCTTCTGCGATCTGTAGAGATCTGCGAAGTATCAACCTTACGGTGCTACTTTCTGAGAGTTGTCTTTGATGTTGTTTGAATTTTTGTTGTGTTAATGTTCTTATGAACTTAGTCATCGTGCGCCTGGCTGGTGCTGGTAACAGCCTGCTCCACTGCCACGTTAGCACCCTTGGCATTCTCTGACTGTCTTCTATCAGGGATCAGCCTCAGCAATCTTAGAGCAAGCTTGAATCTCTGCACTGCAACACGAGAATCCTGGCCTGCTGCGTATGCTGTTGTGGCGGCCTTGATCTGTGAAGCGTCAACGGCCCCAACAAAAATTGGGTCTTGCTGGCTGCGTTTAGCGCTGCTGTAGCCAGGCCAGTTTGCACAAAGCCAGTATGCTGTTTCAAACGAAGTATCGCAGTGACTCGAGTTTTTGTTACGCAGCCACCGCAAAAAAGGCAGTCAGCAGCTACCAGTTCGAAGCGGTGCCGGCTTCCGTGCTTTGGATGGCTTACTGTAACCTAAAGGGCCCCCAGAGTCAAGAAAGATCCGTTGCTTGTGCAACGTAGGAGGGTGGTTCGGAAGCCGCGTGTGAATTGCATGTGGCCTGCAGAATTCATGAGCTCCGTCTTCAGGTGAGCACTGCATTGACAAGCTGATTCAGCTTAGAAGCTATCTTGGTGCTGAGCAGCCGCTAAAAAAAGAGATTGGCCCAGCATGAAGCTTTGGTTGTCTGAGGTCCTTTTCCCTGAAAATTTGGTTCGTGTGCGCTGCTGAATTCCTTCGCGGCGTCTCTTTCTCGGCCATCTTTGCAATTTTCGCGCCACTGAAGTTCAACCAGCTTTAATTTCACGTGTTTGGTAGGCATTAAGTCGCTAAGTATATAAAGCACAAATGTCAGAAGTATTGACACATGCACGCGTCTCAACAAGGACTTCCTGCCACAGAATCTTGAGCGTTGAGAGCTGCCAAGCTTGGGGGAAGCACGCAGGGTTTCTGTCACCCTTGGCTTTGTTTTAGCTTCTCTGGTTCACATGCGACCGTGCAACTCAGGCTGTTTGCATCCACGGTCTTCGGCCTAGACTCCGTGTCCATTGGATTTGCCGTCTGCTGCGGCGCTTTGCAACTTGGATGTTGGATAGTCACGACAACCTTGACAAAGCAAACTGCTTTCTTCCGATTCTCCATGGCTCAGCATGTCAATGGGGGAACTCCGCGCTTGTTGCATATCTACAGCGCATTCTAGAATATTATGGAGTCAGTGTTGGAGTGGGTTGATGAACCTCCCCGCGAGGGAGTTCCAGCTTGCAATAGTTGCCATTCTAATTCTGGCAATCAATGTGCCTAGCCTTGATTTCCTTCCTGCAATGATCCTCCTCGCTTCAACTTCCGAGTTGTCTTGAAGTTTGCTACTAAAAGTTCTGGCGGGACCTCTTGACCTGCCAAGCCTCTACAAAGCTAGGACTCAACACAACTGCACCCCTTCATGTTTGAACACGGGCGTATCAAGCCTGACATAGGTGCCTGATCGCAACGAACATTTGGATATGTCCACATCTGGACCACTGGCTGGGGCACGTGGGCTGCGCCTGCTTGGGCATGGCACTCATTGCTGCCGGCGAGGCCGGAGTTCTATTGCAAGACTTTCGGCAGGACTGCCATTTTTTCCAGATTGTTGGGAATAGATGGATTGAGACTTGCATAATACGCAGTTTCCGGGCACGTTCAAGATTCGAGGCTGCTAGTTGTAGGCAGTTACTCAGTTGAAAGAGGCTCAAACATACTCAAACCTCAAAACAAGCTGGGTGCCTCTGCTGGCTGAGATGGTCTTGGCCTACGCTGGCTGGCTGTGGTTCTCGTTGAGTGGGATGCAGCTTGGCAGAGATTTCGATGCTGTCCTTTAGGCTTCTGGTTTGGACTGGGCATGCCTCACTGGGAACAAAACGCGGTGGCCCTTGGAGCTATGGGCTTGGTTGCACAGTGCAGTGACTCAGAAGCAGCTGCTACGTTCCATCATTTGCATCCCTGCTTGCTGACATCGCAGCGCGCCGGAGGTGCATCGTGTACATCGGTCAAGCTGTGGCTGGGTGCACAATTGCCACTCGATTCACACCTCGGCGCACGGCATGATGGCAGGATGTTAGAGTATGTGCGCTGTTCGCTTGATTCTGATGGTGAGATGCGTTTGCAGTCCCGCTTGGCACGCTCACTCTTGAAGCGTTTGCATTCAAGGAATCAGCATGCTCCTGTAATTTCGTTCTGTTGATACAGGCCATGACACACGGGCTTCTAGTTCTGCGATGAACGCCGATTCGCCGCTGAGTTTCCAGACCTCTCCCCCAAAGGTAGTGGGTCATTAACCGCATATTAGACTGAAGCGAGGCCACCATCACGTCTGTGCTGGCAACCGACGAAAACCGTGGTGCGGTGCAGACCTAAGACCACCTCTCCAGAAAATCTAGGATTCAATTTGCTGGATGGGCCTGGTTTAGTGTCATCTTGGATTGAATGTCATCCCCAACTTCAGGTAAGACCACGTGAGGGAATCTCTAGCTTTGCTTGGTGCTGCAGATGCATCGTAGAGTTGCTGGGCCATTTCTCCCTCGCATGCATCTCATGATGCCAGCCTAAGGTTATGTCCATGCAGCAGATGGCGCAGGCTCATTGCTTGTGATTTGGGTCAGCACAGCCTGCTTTGTTTAGAAACTTGTCATGTTCAGAGCTGCCCTGGTGGTCGTATGGAGCACTTGCTTTCCAGGCCTGACAACTGACTAGATGCTGGGGCGTTGAGGACCTTAAGACAAAACGGAGCTAAGAGGCGCTTGGCCGTGTGGTGGGTCCAGTGGTTCTCAGCGCGTTGCCCAGCGCTCAGGGAACGGCAGACAAGAGACAGCACAGTTCTAGAAAAGCTCTTCAATGCATCTGGCTTGTGCCAAGGTTTGCCGAGAACCCGCGGAGGCCTTACATTTGCGGGGCCTGCGCTGCGCTTGTTGGCGGCTGCGTACTGATAACGCTGCGGGACAGCTTCCGTCTCCTGGTGCTTGGAATTGGCGGCGTGATACGTGTGCATAAGAAAAATAAGACCACCCAATTCTGCAATTAACCTTTCAGCTCCCCCAATGTTTGGACGCTAAGCTCGGTTGGTTTGGCTTTCTGCGAACTTGTAGGGAATCGTTATGCGTTTCCGCTTGTGGTGATGCAATGCTGCAATGCCGCCATTTCACAGGGCTGAAATCGTCTAATAGCTGTAGGCTGGATATTGATTTGGGCTGCATTCTGGGCAATTTTCTTGGCTTCCAATCCAGGCGGCAGTTCCTGCGAGTCAGCAAGTAAGGTCATCGGATGGCTGCAGCATCTTGGTTTTCAAAGCCGCTGCCTGTCCCGAAGCAAAATCGTAGAAGGATGATAGCTACTCACATGAGCTTGATTTTTTCATGTATGCTTGTTTCATGGCCCTAGGTGGCGTACATGTACAAGCCACATGCTGGATTGACGATATTCCCAGCAGACAACTGCTTGTGATCTGAAAGTGGTCCCCCCAAGCTGCGGCTAAGCTGAGGAAACTCCAGCAGCATTTCTGCCTTCGCCCCCTCCTTGGGAGAAGGAGGCAGTCTTGGCATTCTGGTGCAGGGCGTACTGAGTCATGCTAAACTTTGAAAGACTCATCTGAACACGGTTGGTTGAGTGACCTGTTGCATACTGCTGCAGTTGAAAGATTGTAAATTTTGCCGCTTTCAGCCGTAGAAGGTCGCGCTTCGCAAAAGGTCAGATCTCTCTTCGCTTAGAGTTCGATACCCCTAGAAAAAGCAAGAACCAAGCTACAATCAGACATGTAAGTCAACAGGTATCAACAAGTCAACAAAAATCCGCATCCCGGGCTTAGAAGACCACAGTTTCCATGCAAGAAGCGGGTCATGAGTGTTCGTGGGCTAAGAGTACAGTTGTCAAGTTGACAGCGTCTTGGGCCTTGGGCACCGCAAAGCACTTCGAACTATGCCCGCCATAAAACATCAGGTTTTCACTGAGACCGACATCCAAGATCTCGGCAGGCTGCCAGTCAAGAAACATGTGTGGTCACCAGGAAGGCTCTCAAGGGCCATGACTAGGCAGCTCTGACAGCATAGTCTTCACATTGATTGTGTTACGTTGTGATATGCGGCATACATTTGAAAATCACAACGCAGAGAGCAGTTCATAAGCTAATAAGCTACTGCAAGCTTTCTGTACCTGAGAACTGCAGGGCTTTCAAGATGAGTGTGGCAGTACTGGGGAAAACAGTACTGGGCAGCCAGGGCGAGGCCTACAGGTCTGACAATGAAGCTTTGCAATGTATGCTCAAAGTTTACTCCCTGGCAGGAAAATCATATAGCCTGCTGATGGATAGTAGTGGTAGAATAAAAACCCAGCTCTTTGCTGCAGAGACGCTGGCTGTAGTGCGCCACTGTTTTAGAACATGCTTTAACAAATGCTGATGCCAGGCATCAATTTGGCTCTCATCACGGCACTTGTTGTTCATCGTGACAGGTTTTGATACATGTGGTAGAAGTTGCCGGCCCTGTGTCGTTTGAAAGCCAGACGTACCTGGCGCTGCAAGCTTGCAAGGTTCCTGTGTGAGCTGCTCACACGAAACCACTACAAGCTGCTTGGCTGCAAGGTATCAGTGGTGTTGACGCAGGCGCAGTCCCGTCAGACGGAGGATTGTTCCCATAACTGCAATGGGAACGCAGTCCTGCCTACAGTAATGAAGAGACTTGTAGCTTAACTTGGTTGGATGCAAAGACACCATGCTCGCTTGCAACAGAGGTGGCGAGATCCTGTCACCCGAGAAAAGCTCAAGCGAGACCTGGACTCCCGCGTTTGTTACGTCTTGCCATGTTTTGCTTGAAAACGAACATGAAAACCTGTTTGAGACTCTAGACAGACACGGGCCAGAGAGACAGAGAGAGGTGCATAAGCAGCAGGGCTTTGCAACAAAAGAATTGCAAAGGCAACTGTCATTAACTTTTTGAAGTGCGAATACTTCCGGACCACTGCACTACAGGGCGTAGCCCTGCAACCCAAGCATTCTTGAGGTGCTCTCGAACGTGTTCGCGTTAGTCAGTTGATGCGTGCTACATGTGCTACCTTGTGCTACAAGTCCAGTTGCTATCTAAGTATTTTCACGCAATATAAATGTGACTTGTGCTGGGACACGCATGGGAAGTTCTTGCACTTGACTGAACTATCACTGATACCATGAGCCGCAGCAGTAGTGTCATCTACTATTTTGGTCGTTTCCATTTCGTTGTTTCAAGCGCATGTGTTACCAGCACTGCGACGGTTCTTGTTCCCATCATTGCTTCTCCTTTCGCATTGCCATTGTTAGCATTACTATTTCCAACAGTCTGAGCAGTGTTATGTTCTCCTTTAGAGCTAGTAATTCTGTTGCTGATTCTTCCTGCAGTTGTGGTTGCTACCAATGTCAGTGTGTTTTCCGTATGACCGTTTTCCACACGCTGTGTCAACACTAGGGGACTAGCCCTGGGAGATAGAGGAGTTGCTAGATTTGCGCGGAAAGCATGCTGAGAGTTCCGCGGGTTCTCGCTTGGAGCGTCCTCAACTTTTTTTGGGAAATCATGCCGGGTTGAGATCACTCGTTGCTTTGTTGGTGCCTCGATGTCTCGAATTGGCACTCTTACTTGACATAATGCATCCACGCAATCTAGCTCGACATCGCCTCACATTTTGGCGCCAGTGCTCTTAGAGTGGTCTGGGGGTGGGAGGCCGTAGAATCTTGGAAGGTTCTTCGAGTGCTGTTCTTGGAATCCTGTTGGTAATTAGAGGGATCTTCGGATGATCTCCTGGAGAGCCCTCAGTAGTAAGTAGACTTACACTGTTGAGGGCCTGTTTAGTAGTTCTACGCCAGCATGATACAATGGCTACTCAGCTCATATTCCCCATTAAATGTCCAATGGCGCTGAATGTGGTTTAATCTACTTGTAAACCCGAAACACATTACTCAAACGGAGGCCCACGAAATTGGGCTGCTCCACGTTCAGGGGCTGCAGGCACATTATAGCGGGCCTCCTTCAATAGAGGAGGCCCAGAACTATCGCCATTGAGATCATGACGCCTTGCTGTTGCTATATCTCCAAACCTCTATTCTCAGCAGTCCCTCTACAATCACTTTACGGGAAACGTGCGACAGCACAGCAAGCAACGCAAAAAAAGAAGGCAAATAAACGGGAGTGCAAACAGGTACAGCTTGAACCACAATGGAAAAGGTTCAACAGCCAAAGGCAGGTCATGGAAAACAATGCATGCATCTAAAGATCACGCAAAAATTATGAATCTCGTGGAGGCTGATCCGAGAGCAGCATATGAAGTGCTGAACCCAGCGGAGGGTTGGAAGATGAAGGAAAGCAAGAACTCTTACATGAGCTCCTCAATGGTCAGCGGATGTGTGCGTTTCGTGTAGTGATCTTTGTTGTGCACTTTAAAGCCGACTTCATATGTAGGCGACCGTAAGTTGTGCAGAACCACACCGTACCTGGCGCATCTGAGACTTGAAGAATTAGCGTCCATTTCACAGTGGTCACCTCGTGCAGATGTGGTGTGATGAGAAGAGCAGCTCAGGGAGGGTATGGGTAGCCCCCCAAACAAAAGAATTATGTGCGGCAGCAGGAGAAGTTCTTTCCACCGCTTGTCACCGATGAAAACTTCCTCAGTGCAGCAAATGAGGAAGGTGACTTGGATGGATAGCCCTTGCTACCGCCCTTGTAGTTGACCTGAATCCTTACCCTCCTGGCCAACTTTGCATGTGCAGCAGGATTTGGCTGCTGTAGCCATGCATACCTGCTGCACCCTAGATCCCAAAGCCGGCCAGAAGTCCAGCCAACTGCTTGCTGTGCTGTGCCTTTAAAGGTGAGAGGCAGTAGGGTAGACTTGCCTAAAGTGCTGCATGGGGGACTATCGCAACACTTCCAAGCGTCACCTTGAGCTTAGGAAGACATATCAACGACAAGTAGTCTCAGCATTGGCTTTGCTGGCGTTAAAGTTCGACCACCAGCTGATTTGTTTGGGTCCAGGATGCATGATCTCAGTGCATAAGAGACCGCAAGAGAGAGCTTGTTTTTCATGAGCCGAGACACAAATCAGTATGGGCCCCAAAGCCGTGAGAACCCCTAGCTACAGCGCTTAGTTGTGCGAATCGAAGTTAATTTGGAGAAGCATCAGGAGACCTCTCCTGCAACATAGGCTTGAAACCGATAGGAGCTCGAGTGCAAGCCGCTCAAGGTCACAACAACTTCAGCAGCCTCAATAACCAAGCAGACCCTTCCGTCTCCATGTCCGTGGGCCATTTCATCACGCGGAGACTGGGCGGGAGCATATTTAGAAGCCTAAGCTGACGATTGTGATTTACCGCCTGGTCATCGTGTTACATGCCTGTGCGTGCATATCATGGGAGTCAAGATGAATCAAGGCAGTCGATGAGCTGTCCATGTGAGAAGGTGGTCCATTTTGTACTCAGCTAATCCGTAAGGATGCGGCACAAGTCGTGCGGTCGGCATTCTTGACTGCAGGATGAAGACCATGCCTTTGCAATTCCAAACTACGTAGTAGGTAGATCTTTCAGTCGAAGTCTGCCGGACGCATCCTACCTCAGCTCATTGTTAGTCGGAAGCAGATTTTCAAACCCTCAGGAACACACCAAACGCTGCTGGAACGAACCGCCGTCGATTTGCATCGAAGTCCTCGGCCGCGGCCACGCTGCCCATGCGCGCACTTTGTCTGGCCAGCAGACATTTTGGTTGTCGGAGACCGTGCTTCTAGCCAAACTGCAGTTCACGTTTCGGGATGACGGAAAGTCCCATCTTAAGGAGGCCTTATGCCTTATGCCCATCTACAGCTTATTGCACGTTCTCATGCTCGGATGCGCCGTGCATTACACACTTAGCCTGACTCTGAGACTCGACACTCCAGAAGACTATCAGGTCGAATCAGTGGGTGCCGACTTCCCTCCAAGGGCGATGTCTAAGGCAGCTGGGACTGAGGCAACATCAAAAGAACTCGATGACATCCAAACAGGAGAGACTGTTCTGTACCTGACTAAGAGGAGGGTTATTTGAATGTCTTACTTCTACACAGGCCCTGGAGATTTCTTCGCTGCTTGCACTACGTATTCACTTTGCGCGTTTTTTACATCATAGCCGGGCTTAATGCCACATGCAATGCCCTGCGAACCCTGACACAGCTGGCAGCATCCGACCTCAACTGCAAAGACTGGAGCCTGAAATGAGAAGCCTAAGCCCGCGCGGGAACTCTCCAAACAGAATGAATGAAGCTTTTTGAAAGCCCCGAACCTTAACGCGAGCGTGAACGCTGCCGCTAAATTCATGGGTGTCGAATACGTAATTGATTGCCCCCCCCCGCCTTCCCCTAACAAATACGATTCTGAATAGTCCAGGGGAGGCCGATCAGATGGGGGGCCCGGCCCCGAGCGTGAACCCTGCGCCTTTAATTAGATTTAAACCGCGAACCTCGAACCCTAAACCTTGAACTGCGATCCCCAAATCGTGACGAACTCCTCAACCTTAAACTCTTACTTAAACCCTAAAGCCTAGCCCGTAATTGAACTGTAAACCCTACATACGCCCTAGACCCTTGACCCTAAAGCCTGAGAGCTCCGGCCCTAAGGCTTAGGATATAAGTATCTGCAATTTAAATCGTATTCTTCTTTTGCAGATTTGGGAGTCCATGCCTGCCAGGGACCTCATTATTCCGTACCCGTTCTAATTGCCATTCTTCCATTCCGGCGGTCTCGGTATAATACCCCTTAGCAGAAATGATTGCCTGGGCTGTTTGAATAAGCGGTCTTATAAGAAATCGATAGTTTCTGGCGTGCTCAAAACCTGAGAATCGGAATGGAATTGGCTTCTGACGAAAAAGCTTCAAGTAATTAGGTTTGAAATCCATAGGCCTAAGGCTTGGGATATAAGTATCTGCAGTTTAGATCTTATTCTTCTTTTGCAGATACTTAATTAGGGGTTCGGTTGCTTAGACTGGTTTGTTTCTCTGGCTTTCGGAATTATTCCGTTCCTGTATTGTTATGAGCCCATTCAGGGCGGAATTTAGCTCTAGCACGTACCCATTTATATTATTCCGTTCAGGCCTGGTTTAGCTCTCATACGACCCCCCTTTACTAATCCGAAGTTAACATTAACGCGGATGATTTCACGAACCCTCCACCTTTGGCGAGGGCTGGGCCGGACCCTGCTGACTCCACGCAGGCTTCGGCAAATGAGGGCTGGAACTTTCTTCTAGGCTCATGACTAATGTTTTTGTGAGTTTCGCCATTTTGGGAACAGGATTTTTGATGAGTGTGCATTTGAAGTAGGAAGGCCGCACTGCTGAAAAGACTTTTTCCAGAGGACCATGGAATCATGAGAGAGCCTCCGACCCTCTTCAGGTGCCTCGTACGTTGCAACCCCATCCTCGGTCGAAACGGGCCCAAGGGTCTGAGAAACTCCGAAGCGAGTAGTTTGGGATACAGAATATGAGTGTGTTATTTTATTCTATAGGAAGATCATAATCTATCCGCCCTAATGACAGCCCCCCATGCCCCCTCATAGCACCATTCGATAGTACAGTTGGTTCTGGTCCTGGTCAAGCTGGTGGGGGTTTGATCATGGGGGAACTGCATTCAGGCAACGCGTGTCCTTTTTGAGAAGTTGTGATTTCATCCGCTGAAATTCGTTTGTCAGGTTCGCAGCGGGATTCTCGAGGAGGTAAGCTGAGCCGAAATGGGCCCTTGCGATGCTGTACATACGCCAGTGTAGGATTATGCACGCTACAGTCATGGACACGTTAAGGCAAGTAGGTGTCATAGATTATGCAGACTTGAAGTGCTTGTTGGGATGGATGGTTCATATTTTGCCCGGAGCTGCAGACCACCCAAAACTGGTCTTGCGCCCGCGAGTTTTGTCGCGGGGCCGGCCATTTTTCGTAGTAACTAGGACTTGCGAGGACACCTTTCATGCCCTAACTTCATGCACTGACTTCCTGCGCTAACTCGCGCTGTGCTTGATGAGACGTGCTTGCCATCTGAATGAGGGCTTGATAACCTGCAACTCAGCCTGGGCTCAGGCTGTTGAAGGCGTTGAAGGCTACCGCCCAGCTTCCTGGGTAAAAAAAAGCAAAAGGTGTCCTTGTCATGCCTCGTTTGCCGTCAATGTCACAAGAGCAGCTGACTTCGTGTGGCACGCGTCTACGGCTATGGCATGTTTCAGACGCATGCCTATATGTTTGCTTTTCACGCGGCTACAGTGTTGCGCAGATTGCCTTTATCGAGGTAAAGCTGACCATGTATGTATACACATATATGATATGTATATATGTATATGTACATACACACGTATCCACAGAATCCAGCAAGCGCAGTCAATATGTGGACACAAGTCTATGGCAGCTGCAAAGTGCAGCTGCAAAGTGCACTGCATCGGGTGCATGATGATGCGTAGCTCTTTGGTAGTCGCTGCTAGATGAAGTCAGCTGCTCATGCCTTGTCTGCGCGCAGTGTGCCAGCAGCAGTTGTAACTGGACAACGCATGCAGACAGCAAAGCGCAAAAAGGCGGGGTGTTTCGCAGGGCTCAAGGCTTAGCAGGTCATCCTTGGCATTTGGCACGGCTTGCCAAATGAGGGATCTCATTGGGTCTAGGACCCTAGGACCTAAATGTGCTCTCGCCTTGTCTCCTTCCAGTTAGCAAACGTGGCACAAGGGGTCGAAGTTGGGGCAGAAATATTTCATCTACGATAAAGCTTCGAAACCCTGAGCCACCAATCCTGTTTGATGCGCAGGGGACCCTAGAATTTGATTCCCTGTTCCAAGCTGAGGCCAAGAAGGCCCTTAGCATCCTCAATGGTGCTCTGATCAACAAGGCCAGGCTTGGCATGCATCCCCCCCTGCCAGTGTGAACTGGATGCACGGCTCCTACTCGTACTTCTGTCCATGAATGAGTCAGGCCATGAGCATACTCATACTATGGAAATGTTGCTGAGCTCTTAGTACGGGTAAGTTTTGTGGAGGCACTAGTCCTCATTACTTGTATTAGGCATTGGTATTGTGGACATTCTCTAGAGCAGGAAAGTCTACAAGCCACCCAAAAGGACGTAGCTTTTGGGATCACCCCAGCAGCGAGCGGAAAGGGTAAGTGATCTGACATGGAACATAAGTGCCGAAATGTTTCGGATTCGAAAGAAGAGGCAAAACCTGGAGGAACTGCAGATGCACATGATTGTCTGGCAGGTGGTGGTGGAAAGGCAAGTGGGTGCAGCCGTATCAGGCCGGACAGTGTATATCCTTGACTCTGCTGGAGCATTGGCCGAGGACAAGGCTGTTGGTGTTGCACGTTGCAGTTGTGCATGCCTCCTTGGGCTCCCATCTAACATTATGTTTCGCTGCTGTTATGAGTCGGCTGCCTCGACGTGTGCCTTGCGTACGGGTAGACCGGGTAGTCGAGTTCAAGAGTTCGATGCGCGGGGACGGCCAGTTCGAGATGAACTTCAGTTGTAGAAGTCTACACTATCACTATCGCTGTAGTTGGGATTGCTCTGCTGCAGCCTTTGGCTTACAGTAACGAAGCACCTGGCCACTTCGGGCTGGGAACTGCCAGGATGGTGACTTGTTGGCATTCAGTCAGGTGGGAGTGGAAGCATGTTGCTTTGGGATATGTGCTGGAAGTATCAGATTTAGGAGCCATAAGAAACTTCATGAGAAGCTACCTTTCACATGATGCAATTTCAGCCTGATGGGAGACCAGCTGGTCTATATACATGTTTCTGCTTCCCTTTCCACATAGTATGAGCCTCATAATGCCTGGGCTTTAGCCCGGATTTCGTGACTTCGAACTTTTCTTCACTCGCTCCAGGTTGCGAGTTGCATTGCCGTTGATGTGTGTCCAGTTTGCCTCAACAAGTTTCCTAGGAGTACCTGGATAAGGGGTTGTCGACTTTACTTCAGCAAAGCAGTTGGACAGCATATGCTGGTAAGGACCTGCGGTGTTCAACGTTCTTTAGAGGACCGTTGGTAGCAGACTCGGGTGATAGAATGAAGCCCCCTTTCCACAGGATCAAGCAAGTGGCTCGGTGGGCTATTTGAGGAAGGAGGCCAGCTCCTTCACCCCGGGCCAACGCAACTCAAACACACATAGTCAGAGTTGCAGGGCTTTGCGTCTCCAGGGCCGGAGCAAGCTCTGGAGGTTCATCTTCATCAAGTTGGGTGTGGAACGTTTGAGCTCGGGTTTAGATTTGAAGCCGGGGTCTGGAGCTAGCATATGTGACAAGGTCAGGCAGTCTTAGCTTGAGATGTTTGAGGCGGCAATCAAGCATCGACAAGTTGATTCTGGCCCCTAGCCATCTTGGGTAAGACCCTTGTGTTCTCGTTGCTCCAATTATGCCTACGTAATCATCAGCTGTGCTATATAGACTTGAAAATCAAGCATGCGGCTGCTGCCTCAGACGGAGATTTAACCTGTTCGGTGTCCGTGATGACAGTGCTTGCTGTGAAGACATGGCAGCGCAATTTGAAGACAAAGCCCTGTTGTCGTGCAGACCGCCGTTATACCCATGGCCCAGACTCCACTAAATTCCTTTGTTTGGCAGAAGACGCTCAGGTAAGCGATTAAATGCTGTGGCCATAACCATCAACATCCTGGCGCCATGGCTGCTCTTCTGCGGATCCTGGGCTCAAGACCAAATGGTTCGCACCGTGGATTTTCATGGTTCTTATGGTACAAAACCATGGCAGGCTGCAATCCCTGCCATGAAGCATCGCCATTACGTGGCTGGCATTTTCTCGCAGTAAATGCTTGACATCCCTCTCATACCTAGCCTTTGGCTTTCAACTGAAGCGCTGCGGTTGTGAACCTGCAGTGTGCGCAAGCACCACGAGGAAGCTGCTAGAAGAATCTACGGGAGGTGGCAGGCAGACGCAAGACAGCCAAACAAAACTTCATCCTGGGCCCGAGGAATCTTTGCCGCCTTGCTGCTTGGAAGGCAAAAAGCAAGGTCAGGCAAGGAAGTGCTGTGGATAGAAGCTGCTCAAGTTTGCTGTGACCGAATTTTTCGAGCTAAAAAACACCGATACTCACACTTGAAAGCCGTAAGCTCTCCATACCGGGGACCTTGCACTCCATGTTTTGGCGCCCTGCGCGCACTGCTGCAGTTAAAAGCTGACCCTTCTCAAAAACACCGAGGTCTTTCCAGATGCACTACAGTCACCCTGCCCTTGCTTGGGCCAGCGCACCTGAGCAAAACATTTGGTTTTACTCGGTACTCTGAAGGAGTGTGACAGTATGACATTTATAGGTTGTTCTACATCTAGTTTTGAAAGAAGGCTCGCAGCGGAAAGTGCTTCCAGGCTGGTGCTGGCCTGGTGCTGTCTGCAGTCTGCGCCTTCCTGGCACACAGGCATCCCAGAAATTGGGAGCGTTCAGCAGGTATGTGATACAGTAATGCTAGAGCGAAGCACGTAGGTGTTTGGATCCAAGGTGGCTTATTGCCCCAAAAAATCTGAAGGGGACGTTGATAGTTTTCGTTTCGCATTGGCTGCCATTCGATTTCCGCATGCTGACAAACCACGGATTGCAAAATAACATGACATGCCCCAGCATGCCAAATTGGCAAGATTAAATCTTGCAATGACCCCGTGCGCATGGAGTCCTTAGATCGAGTGTCTGAACAAAGCGGGGCCTTCCACAGACAGCAGGACTCGGATGCAGGAGCAGGATCCTACGTGGTGCACTTTCGCAGCTCTGGCGCTACTTTGCTGGGTTGGTAGGTTGAGATCATTATACTATTCACTATTCAGTTCAGTTGCTGTTGGTTGGGTACCTGGAAGCTGCAACGGTTATCATTATAGTCACTTTTCGGTCATGGTGGCAAGCAGCCTTGCAAAAGACGTGGTAGCCGGGTAGTAGGCCATGTTGGTCATGGCAAACGGGCTGTACAGTTGGGAACGAGGGCTGTTTGGTTTGAAGATCCGGCTGGATGTGCCATCCGGACTGGCCTGCAGGTTTGTATTCTGAAGTGATAGCTTTCTAGTAAGTCGTGCCCTTACTCAGGGAGTGGGCTGCGAGTCCATCAACACGTTTGCTTTGCAAGTCATTTCAAGTCATTCTGAGGTATCTCGCAGCGACGGTCTTGGCGGCAACGCTAGGCGCCCCGTCTGGTAGGATTTTCCATGCAAGACTGACTTGTGGAGCATCTGAAAGATGGGGTCGTGCATGCAGCTCGCTTCGAAGCGTGTTGGGTTCCAGGAATGCTGCCTTTCGGGGATGGGAAACGTTATTGAGATTACTGTTATGCCAGCTAATGCGTAAGCGGTAATCACTGCAAGTTACTGAAGAGCAAATGCAGGCTTTTTGGAACGCAAGCTGCCGGCCCCAAAGTGAATGGGAGGGGCCCTTAGCATGGCATGTTGCAGGTAATGTCCGGTTTACGCCTCCGCTAGTGCTCTTTGGGTTTTTGCTCGCCACAAGTGCGTTTCAAGCAGGCGCCGTAGGAAAGACGTGGTAACCACGCAGATGGGGCTGCGAACACAAGATGATGTCGTGTGCTGTGTCAAGCAGGTTTTGGCCGATCTCGCCAGATATGTTTGGTATCAGCTTGGCACCGGGATGAATTGCTCCCATTTCCACCGTCTCGCCTACATTCTGCTACATGCCCAGCAAGTTGCATGATGAGAGACTTCCGCTCTTCCAGGTGATATGAACTACTGGTACCACATGCAGCCATACTATGACGCTTGGCATGTATCCACGGAGACTCTGTGTTCCTTCTTGTGCCTCTTCCCCCTTCGTCCCCTGCATCCTTTGGTATCCTTCTCAGGACATTGAGAACATCAACTCCTACCCTGACGTGAGTCCGTCCAGGGAACGCGGTGCCCCGGCTTGCAGCAACGATTGGATAGGATCAGGCCAGCATGATCCCGCAAGTGATACCAGGCATCGTGTGGCACATCCGAAGATGCCCATATTCATGTCGTATGATGTCGCTGAAGGACAGCAGCTGATGGACGCAGGCAGAATCTATTTCGAAGATGGCGCTTTGGTGGCAGAGAGAGTACATCTTTCAGATGGGGCTGCCAAAAAGTGTTGCCTAGCAGGGTTTCCTACAGTGAGACTAGGGGCTGTGTCACTAGGTAGCTTCAGTCTCCCAAACTAATCTACAATAGCCGCATCCCGAACCCCGTCCGCGCAGCAAGGACAATTCTGGGCGCGATAGCTGCATTGTCCCTTCATTGTGCGGTTTGTGTTTTCTTGTACGCATCCAAAAGCGTGCCAAGTGCAGGAGGAGTAGCAGTGGTAGCAGTGGTAGTACTGTAGTAGTTGTTGTCGTTGCAGTAGTAGGAGTAGGCGCCTCCCTCCCTAGGCAGTACTTTTGACGTAAACGTGTGTTTGTGTGAAGATGGGTTGGGGTGAGGGTGTGATGGGGTGGCGAGGGAGGAAGCCGAAGGCCTTCTTCAACCAGTCTATAAACTCTGGCAGCTTTCCACGAAGCAGTTTAGCAATTAATTGCTCACAAGAAAAGATTGATGTCGCCCACAGGCGCTGAGCTCGGCGAACTGTTTAGGGGCCAGCGCAGAGCTTCTTCACCTCTCCCAGCACCTCTGCAATTGGCAGCCTTCTCGGGTAATCATACTACAACCTGATAATGAACGTTTAGCAACACTTCGCGCTAAGGGTGGGCGGCTGGCTAGTAGTAGGTCTGCATCCCGCTTGTGACCCCACATTTTTGTGTACTTTGCATCTCTAAAGTCCCACGCTTGCTACGCATTCTAGGATTTAGTAGAGTCTGCGGGCGGGGTTCCTTTCTTCAGGGTTTTTGTGGTGCCAATCTCAAAGTTTGTTTTATGCTTGTGTGCAGAGGCAAGTACGTGTATTCGCTGCCAGGGGTTGAAGGGCAGGCTTAGTAAGGGCTCTGTGGCAGCCATGGCACGGTCCCTTAAATTTGAAATCAGAATTCCTCAAACACTGGGACTACTGTTGCAGGCGACTAAAAGCAATCCTGACTAATGGGGCGATGAAAGAATTATATCACAACTCCTCAAACACCTGGACTAATGGGGCGTAGCTTGGACTAATGGGGCGACCACTGGTATAACGGGGCGTGGCTTGGACTAATGGGGCGATGATAAAATTGAATCAGAACCCCTCAAACGCCTGGACTAATGGGCCGTAGCTTGGGCTAATGGGGCGATGATAGAATTGAATCAGAACTCCTCAAACCCCTGGTATACTGGGGCTTAGCTTGGACTAATGGGGCAATGTCAAAATCCAACCAGTCATCCTTACATCCATGTATGCCAGATACGAACAACGGGCAGCCAAAAAACAGGAACCAGTTGTGTTCGGGCGAATGAGCATAAACCCAAAGTAAAATCATTGCGAATGCACAGAAAACGTAGCGTCACATATGAGACGCGCAGTTACTAGTAGTAGTAGTAGTAGTAGTAGTAGTAGTAGTAGTAGTGGTAGTAATAGTAATAGTAGTAGTAGTAGTAGTAGTACTACTACTAGTAGTAGTAGTAGTGGTAGTAGTAGTAGTAGTAGTATAGTAGTAGTAGTAGTAGTAGTGGTAGTAGTAGTAGTAGTAGTAGTAATA